GAATAAAGCAGCCTGACTCTTAAATTTAGTTAAGAATAGACCTGAATTTGGAGGACACCGTTTCCCGTAGATATCTCTTAAACTGTGCCCCGGAACTATGTTCTGACACTGCGTTCTCTAGCCAGGCTTCATCCACAGTTTTATTCAAAAATGTTTCTCCTGCTTCAGCTGGAAAAGTGCAAGCTTGAATCCCCCCCTTATCTTGTCAGGCAATCTTGCCTTTTTATCCTTAGTTCTAGAACATGGAAGACACACAATGTCAAGCATCCTTTCCAATCTTCACTGTGTTCAAGAAAGATGAGCACACTGTCTTTCTGTACTTTGGTATGTTAATTCTTAAGCATACCCACATTCAGCCAATTGAGGGTCCCTGGAAACAAGGTCAGATGTCAGGTCATAAGAACATATGGTTCAGTGAGTTTGTCAAGGTTAATTAAAACTCATTAGTTCAGATTACATCCATTTTATAAATGTCATTCCTAAAATTTTTATGATTATGAATTCAGGTATATATTTTAAATATATAAATATATTCTAAGTTCAAGAATGAACTAATTAGAAATATGTTTTTGTATACGCAAATATTTGCCATGTTATTTGACCATCATGCTAGAAATAGTGCAGTTCATCTGATGTAGCAGATCTTGGGAAATGCAAAACACCTTATATACCTGTCACACCCACAAACTGGTGAAACCTAAAACTAACAACTTAACTATTTAAAAACATACTTCCCCTAGGGGTCAGTATTGCTCCCATTGAGAATCAGTCTCAGCGTGGGATACCATTGTATGAGATTTCCTCTTCTCTACTTCCCTTTTGCTCTTTTCATTCTGTATTAGTGCCTTTTCTGTTGCTGTATTAGAAACGCTGTGAACAAGGGAGCTTATAAAAGGAACTTTATTTAGCTTATGGTTCCAAAGGGGCAAGAGCCCATCATGGTGTGGCAGATATGGCTGAAGTAGGAGCAGAAGCTAAGCACTCAGATCTTCAAGCAGCCACAGGAACCTGAGAGTGACTTGAGATCTGGCAAGGCTTAAGAGCTCTCTAAGCACAGCCACCAGTGATGTGCTTCCTCTAGCACGACCACACCTTCCCAAAACAGCACCACCAACTGGGGACAAAATGTTCAAATACTTGAGCCTGTGGGAGGCATTCTCCCTCACACACTCTGTGATGACAGACCAAGATGGAAGAAACAGAAAAAGAGCAAACATCCCCATCAGCTGTAACAGCTACCTTAGCTTTTTGGCTGTGTGTCTTCTGTCTTTTCAACACCGGCTGTAGGTTCACTGGAGATGTTTGGGAATAGGATCAGTGAGTTTGACTCTTTCAGAACTTTCTGTGGAAAGGTGGCCTAACATGAAAGCTTAGAATATGAGGGACAAGAAAGTGTTTGGTGTCAACTTCATATTTTTATGCAATTAATACCAGCAAAGCATTTATATTGGAAGTTCAGATTTACTGCCTGTCATTGAGTGACTGTGGGCATTTGAACTCGCTGGAGCACTTTTATGTCATCTGCAAAATGGCAGAGAGTAAAGTAGATGCCATTGTATTTGGGGGTCGCGGCTGCAGAGCATAATGTACAAGACCCAATTCTCTTCTTCCACCATCTGAGTCCCAGGGATTGAACTCAGGCGGTCAAGATTAGTGGCAAGTGCATTTCCTAGCTAAGCCATCTCCCCAGCCGTATCTGGATTCTTTAACCATTGACTTTTATTTAACTATAAGCATTTGAAATCTCTATCACACATGTAAGCTGTTGTGTGTGTGTGTGTGTGTGTGTGTGTGTGTGTGTTTCAGTGTTTTTGCACTATATTTTTCCCTACCCGCTCTCTGTTTGACTGGCCCTCACTCACTCAGGGTCTCGTGGTCCTGACTCGGATGGACAAACCACCATAACACAGTTCTATTTGAATTTTGCATATTTCCTATGACATTGGGAGGGGATGAATTACAAAGAAACAGCTCCTTATAATCCCCGCCATTCAAGCCCTGCACTGCACTACCCGGTGGCCTGTCATTCCCTATCGCCTTCGCACCCAGCACCCATGAACCTCACAGTCTGCCTCATCTGGCCCTGCTGAGCCTGAAAGACTGGCAGGGTGTCTGCCAGCCGTTCTCGCTCTCGCCCTTAGGGCCGATCGCCTTGCTCCCCAGAGTTCCAAAAATGGTTGCGCTAACTTCATCTCTCGGTTGCTAGGCTCCGCTCCTCTTCCCGAGGTGCTTGCACTTGCCTGGCACCCACGCTTTTCAGAGGAATGGGTAATTTCCGGGCTACAAGTGTCCTTGAGGGGACTGAAAATTGTGATCCTCACTTTTTGCGTGAAAATCTCTTTGAATTTTTTTGTGTGGACTTCAGCCTTTGTACCTGAAAGCTTTCTAGATTCTTCTAAGAGCATATTTCCTCAAAATGAAGTATTTTAACGTTAAACAGAGTTGAGAAATCGCTTATTTATAAAATGGTGTTAGGTAATTGGCAGCTCTTTTGTACTAGGTGAATATGATATAAGGTAGTAATTTCCTCAGCAGCTCTGATGCTCTTCACTCAAACAATATGCGAATAGGCAATGGACATAAAACTTATGCCAGGTTTTTATGTCTTAATCTGGGCTTCCTAGAAGCCAAGACTAACACAGAGAATCTTATTCAAATGATTTCTCAAGGGTGAGCTCTCCTGGGGAATCTTTAAGTGAGGAGAGCAGAATGGACCAGAGAAGGGGGTAGAAAATGTGGTTCCAGAAGTCCAGAATCACCCTAGAGTATCTGGAGCTGTAAAGATATTCAGTTACAACAAATATTTCAACTCAGACAAGGGGATGAGGTTGTTATGACCCCATATTAGCTAGTTATTTGTTACATCTTCAGGGGCCAGATAGGAGCATAATCTTCCAGGCACTCCCAAGCAAATACTTCAATCCATAAGTCAAATCCATGATAGTAAAATCTACCCATAACAGTCAATCCTTGCAGGTATGGGGATGGGTATCTGAACTGAGGAAAGATCTAGGTAGGAGGACAGCCGCATGTACATGGTACTTGAGGATCCAAATCATGTTCACTTTCAACATACTGATAGATCTAGGAACATGTACAAAGCCATCTAACAGACAATGCCGCGTAAGAAAATAGAGTCTGAAAGCCTGGTAGTGCTGATTGAAGGTACACATGTAGGTAAAGCCTGTTCTATATACAAGCTGCTGCATGGTCCTTATCTATGTTAGTTCCATTTAACATTCTCAATAATTTTGCAATGTAGGTAATATCATTGCTCATACTTCCTAGTAAAAAGGCACAGGTTTAGAAAGTTAGTTAAAATCATACAGCTAGCAAGTACCAGAGGGTCATTTGCTTTCAATAATATGCTATGGCTTCCTGGAGTGGGAAAAAAAAAAAGAGATCTTAAACCCTATCCCAGGTCTATTAAGTCAAAATTCTTTTCATATTTTAATAAGGTATGCTTTATTTTGTGAAAGCCTTAACAACTAGTGGTGATAACCATGCACATTGAAGTATTTCTAAAACGTGTGGAGTGTCAGAGCCAGCATTAAGTGCAAATGGCCATATCAGCAGGCAAAGGTAGCAGAAATGCTTGAGAAGTTTTACAAAGGGTCTGAAAGAAAGGATTGAATTCTCTATTGTTGCATTGTTCATTAAAATAAAGAACAGAATAAGAAAAGCAAAATCTGTGGTCACAGTGGGCTCAGGTATTCACTAGAAGAAGTTCTTCTCATCTCTATGTTGCCATATGCACAAATTTATCATTAAAAATACCTAAATTACCAATTTTTCAAAGGTGCACAGGACATTGTAGGATTAGGAAGGAAAATGATATTTCTCCAAACATTTGGGGAATGAAAACACAGAAGTACAGGAAAATATGTTCATTGCTGATGTGTTACTAACAGAGTGTTTTCATGCAGATGTACAATGGGATATTGTTCTCTAAAATAACATGATCCAAACGTATCAACTTTCACAAAAACATTTCCTTGTGAAAAATTGGATGGAGAGACAGAAAAGAAAAGGAGAGACAGGAGAGACTAGAGGTGTGATGCCATCTGTTTGCAATAAAATGCTTTCCAGGCAATTTCCTGGGCATACCAACGACTACCAAGCTAGCTATCCTCCGCATTTCCCACAACTCTAAGGAGAAAAGGCTGCTGAGAAGGCAGAAGAGTCCATTCTTTTTGCATAAAATAGGTTGGTAGGTCAGAGTTCAGAATCACTACACTCCCTTTACCGGGTTATAACTGCTAAGCATGTGTTATCAAAGTACTGTGAGTAGCCTACACATTCTAGGTATTGTTGGAAAGACATTTCCAAGTTTTATACTAGTTTATTTCTGAATAAGTTATTTGCTGTATTTCCATTCATTGGTTTACATTTCAATTCATCCTCAATATTAAATTTATGACACTATAAATAGTTCCTTTTTAATACCAGATTAAATACTCCAGCAATTAAAGGATTAATGCACAGTCCTCAAAATGACCTCAAGTCAGTTAACTGGCATAAGTTACATGATGGAGGACTTTACCCTGTAGCTGAAGGTAGAAAACCCAAAAGTTCACACTGTGCGAAAGGCTAGCAGAAAGAAAGGGCTTTAATACTTTAGACCATATACTAATTAAACTGACCCCTCCCCAAAACCTGCTGACAGATGTTGAGAGACAAATGCTTAGTTTAATCGTATTAGGAAAGATTATGAAGAAGCTTTAAAATCCCAAGACTATTGTTCAGTGTCAGCATTGTTCAGAAGAGAGAGAGGAAGAGAGAAAGAGGAAGAGAGGGAGAGAGAGAGAGGAGAGAGAGAGAGAGATATTTCCCCCCTTTTAAAAGAAGAGTAGCTTGATCAGAAATTGGTTACCACAGGAAATTTTTTTTAAACTGTGAATACGTGGTAAGTGCAGGGGAAAGGGCTTCCATGACTGCATTTAGGCTACATCAATAGTTTGGGTGTATATACTAACATTTTACCTTTACAGTAGACAAAGATGCCAGTGGTTAATACTGAAGACCTAACAGAAACAGACAAATGGAAGATGGAAGTAGAACAGCTCAAGAAAGAGGTGACTCTGGAAAGAATGATGGTAAGTGGTGGTTCTACTGAATTCCATTGGGAGAGACGGTGTAGGATTGCAAGTCAGAAAATATAGAATGCTCTCAATTCATTTAGTATACTTAAAAACAAAGTGTTTGTGTAAGCTATCATCATAAATGAAGAAAGGTATTAATGAAACTCATCTCATGATTTAGACTCTTAGTAAGAGGTTGGAAAACTATTTCCCCTGGCCCAAGTCCAGCCTTTCATCTATTTTTGTATGACCACTGAGCTAAGAAATATTTTATCTTTTTAAGGAGAGGGAAAGAAGAAAAGACGGGAAAATATGGGACAGAGATCGTGTTTTAGCTAAGCATCAAAATGAAGCAATGCACGGAGGCATTTTGTTTTTATTTCTCTAAGCTGATAAGGTTCTCTTTATTTGATGCAATACTTTGATGTTGTTGATTTATTTTAAAGTACGACCTCATCCTCTCCAGTCCTGTCCTGGTCAGTAAAAATAAGTACATTCTATTCTTTGCAAATAAAGATGATTTTAGTCACAGGGACTCACTGGTTCCTCCTAAAAGCATCTGAGGGCTCTTGAGAATGTCTATCCAGAGCACTCTGCCATTAAAAGGGGCAGAAAGGGGAAAGAAATGAAAAGCTTTCACCAAACAAAGAGTGACTAAATCGTGGAAAATGTAAATGTAGAAATATACTTTAGATAACTTCATTTTAGGAAAGTTACAAAAACTAAACTCCTCTACAAGTGAAAACATCTTATCATACATGTATTTTAAATATCTTCTTATGAAAACAAATCAGAACAAGGAGTTTATATTCTTTCCATGTCTTGCTCAAAACTCTTACTATAATCAAATAAATTTAAGATTTAGTTCTTATATGTTTATAATCACCTCTAACTCCCTATTACCCTTTCTATAAAGACAAAACATGTTTCCCTATAAGGATAAACTTTAGGGGCAGAAGAGATGGCTCAGTGTTAAGAGCACTGTCTGCTCTTGCAGAGGACCTGGGTTTGATTCCCAGCACCGACATGGTGGTTAATAACTGTCCATAACTCCAGTTTTAGGGGATCCGACACTCTCTTCTGTCTCCATGGGCTTTCAGGACACAGGTGCATTTACACACATGCAGGCAGTACACTCATACACATAAAATATGAATAATAAAAGAAATATTTTTTTGAAAGATAAACTTCAATGCATAGTTAGCACAAAAGCTTGGAACACACAGTAGACAAGCTAAAGTCATTATCTTGTTTACATGTTCTGGATTGTGCTTTGGTCAGCAGTTGGGTTGTCTTCAGGTTTATGAGTTTCTCAAACTTTTTATTTTGGGGAAACATAATACACATCACTACCCACTCATCTTTGAGGGTTCTTTTCCTCATTACTCAAAATATCCTTGTTCTTGGAAGCTTAAGTAACTTAATATTTGACTGCAAAACTCTCTCTTTCTGTCTCTGTATCTCTGTCTCTCTGTCTCTGTCTCTGTCTCTCTCTCTCTCCTGTTGTCATTGTTCTCTTCCTTCTCCTCCTCCACCTCCAATCTCTCAATATAGATATTTTCATATATATTTAGACACTCATGTACATCTCTCCCAAACACACAAAGATACACATGATGCTTTAGTCTATTCAGGCCTCTATAAGATAAGACCAGAGATTTCATGGCTTATAAAATATATATTATTTTAATTTTACTTTCTCACAGTTCTGGAACTGAACTGTTCCAAGATCATGGGCCTGTTCCCTCATTCACAGGTGACTGTCTTTTCACTGTGTCCTCCCATAGTGAAAAGGGTAAAGGAGCTCTCTGATGTCTCTTTCATAAGGATGCTAATCCTATTTTGGAGACCCCTACCCTTAAGATGTAATCAGCTTCCAAAGGCATCATCTCCTACTATCATCATATTGGATATTAAGGTTTCAAAATATAGATTTTAGAGGGCACAAATACTTGGTTATATGTATCTAGGTATATCTCTATAAATACATGTGCACATATATATGTACATATATGTATATGGTGTGAAATTTTACTTGAAAAAAATCTAATTATTTAAATAATTTCTGAAATGGTCATTGAATATTTTGCCAAAAGTAAATTAATTGTGTTACCGTCATAAAACACATTAATTAAAAATGAAACAAATTGAAGTTTCAAATCATGAATGATTAGAACTATTGTGCATATATATGTATATATATGACTTGTATATAAAAAGCACTAAAGCTTGATTGTATTCTATGTCATTACCATAAAGTTATAAATGAGAGAGGGACAAATTTATAAACAAACCTAATATTTCAGTTCAGCATATGTTTGCTTATTGAGCTCCAACTAAGTGCAGGCTCTGGTCTAGACGCCTATGACAGACTGAACAAAACAGCCAAAGTCTCTGACCCCTTAGCGCACTTGCCATTTATTGTTGTGAAGAGTCACTGTAGATGAGTTTCAAGTTGCATGTATATACCTCTGAGAGTCCAAGACTAGGGATAAGCCAAGAATTTAGCAACTCATTTCTTCCATCTTTAGAAGTAACATTTTTAGAAAGAGGGAAAAGATTTGCTCAATATTCACTCTGGTGACATTTCTGGCTTGTGTTTCTAGCTGTGGTCTGATCCCTGGGTCCTGCCTCCTTTGAAGAAACTAGAGGCAGGTCAGCTAGCAAACCTTAGTTAAAATGTGGCCAGCCTTCTATCATCCGGAGATAGCTAGGAAGACAGGGTAGGATCAATTCTTTCTATCCTGGAAAGTGTATGTGCACTGGAAGAAAACAGGATCATTTAAGGTAGATACAGCATAAAATTTTATTATAATAAATATCTTTCCAGAATCTGTAGCATTCTGTTTTAAACTAAATGAGTCATCTCTGTCTCCCCCCTCTTAAGGTTTCCAAATGTTGTGAAGACATAAGGGATTATGTTGAAGAAAGATCTGGAGAGGATCCACTAGTGAAGGGGATCCCAGAGGATAAAAACCCCTTCAAGGAGCTTAAAGGAGGGTGTGTAATTTCATAAGCAGGGAAAACATTCTTGGAATATTTAGAATTTTAATGACAATGCAAATTGTTATCCATATAATTAAGCACATAAATGAATGTTTAAATTTATAATAAATTTTAATAAAAATGAAGATGCAATAACATATATATTCATGTTTTTTCTTGAAGTATTTAAGCATAAGGCTTAATACACAATTGACAGCAAGTATTGATGGGCCCTTCTTTAAAAGCAGTGTTTAATGAATGAGTCCTTAGTATTCTGAGGTGCCGGCATAGTGTTAATGTTTTGGGTTTCTTCATTTCCATTTCAGAATTCATAATACACCAGGAGCTTTAAGGCAAGATATACATTTTTCTCAACTTTTCTCTTGCTTACAGACTAGAAAGGCTATTGCTTTTAAATATCTTATTTATTATTTTTATTTTATGTGTATGAATGCATTACCTACATGTATGTAAGTGCACCCGTGTTATGCAATGCCCGCAGAGATCAGAAGGGGGAGTTGGAGTTGTTAGCTGCCATGTGGGTGCTGGGATTCGAACCTGGGTCTTCTGCAAGAACAGCCAGTGCTCTTAACAGCTAAGTCATCTCTGCAGCCCCAGAATTCTATTGTTTCAATACAAAGATGATCTATCTTGGCAGAAATAAGCCATAAATATTTTTTAAATTTTCATTTTTTTGTGAATTTCCTACATGAATACTGTATTTCCATCATTTCCACCCCTTCAGTGCTTCTCATGGCCTCCACTCCCTCTTTTTCGTGACCTCTTCTTTAATTATAATTATGACATGGTACATAAATACGTGCAGACAGCCTACAGAGTCTGTTTAGTGGCAGTTGCATGTACCTATGTTTAGGGCTGAGCACTTGTAGTTGGATAACCTATCAGAGAGATCTTTCCTAGAGCAAAATAATTCTCCCTCTCTCAGCATCCATTAATTGCCTGTAGTTCTTCATCTAGAAATTGGACCACATGAAAGAAATTTCCCATATCCAGGATGACATGTCAATTAGTATTGTCGTTATGCAGGTCTTGTTTAGGAAACCATATCACTGGGATTTCATGGGTGAGGCTTCCCTGTCATGTCTAGAAGACACTATTTGGCAGCAGGGATCATGGTCTTCCAGCTCTTACAATCTTTCTGTTCCTTCTTCTGCCATGTTCCCAGAGCCATGAGTGTAAAAGTTGCATTGTAGATGTATCAATTAGGGCTGGGCACCCCACAGACCCTCGTAGTCCAAGAGAGTCCCAAAATAATATAGCAATTGCCTTTGGTTATCTCCCAGAACTTGAAGGTAAGATGCTATTGCTGAAGACATGCATATTGGACACAAGACTTGGAAGAATCAAGGTAGAACAGGCCTGGAAGCCTCCTTCCCAAGGACTAGTTCTCATGGTATTAGAAGGTGTCATGCAAGGTGCCAAGGGATAAAAAGCAGTTAACAGTCCTACCCAGCTGTAAAGCCTACAAACAATGACTGGCCCAGCAAAATATCCTTAACAGTTCAATAGTGGTACTTTTATTTGGGGCCTAACCAACAGCTCTCTAATCGGACTTCAGGCTCACTCAGTAGGAAGAAATTCATGACTGGTACTGTAAAAATAGACAACAACCATTTGCTGGAAAAATCATAGGCCCTAGAGGAGAGCCTATTACTCCCACTTTCCTAAACCATTACAGTTTCTACCAGAAATATTTTGTTACTGAAGCTTTATTGTTTATTTCCCTTTCTATCTCACCCTTAATCAAATGGGGATAGTATTAACATAACCTTTATCAAGATTATTACTTGATTCTACCTGTCACTAATGATGTGACTTTTTCCCAGACTGCCAACTGATTGAAGAGTTCAGTCTGTGGTCATAGAACACATTGAATTTAATCATCAATGGAATAAAAGATTGTGAGCATGGACTTAGGAGCCAGAGAACTCTGTTTTTACCATGTCGCTGTTGAAACTGACTATGGTTAAGATTCATTAATTTTATTAAGGCACAATTTCTTCTATGGAGTTGAAATAATATATTAAGCAATTAAAACACTTAGTATATATTATCTGACACACTGTGAGACCCAAAAACTGTTAGCTGTTACTGGGAAAAAAGCCAGAAAAACTTCCAGAATGCTGTGATACAAACCATTTCACTCCACTCCCACGAAGTCCTCACCAGCACAGTCTATGCATGGTGCATATGTTAAGTGTAATTACCCAAAACAGAAACTATTTGTGTCATTAATGTTTCCTTATTGCTATCTCAGATTTACAGAAAAATTTAAATTCTATGATCATCAGAATCTTTATAAATACAAAGTGACTGTCATCCTTTGGAAAACAAGATGCAAAACATCTACTGTTTGGCCTGAAATGGAGTCTGAAGGCTAGCTCAGTGATCTACTCTGATTGTAGGAAATGTTCATCAAATACTCTTTGATCCTTGTCCAACCCATTTTTCTTCCAGGTGGGGAAAATAAAGGCTCTGAAAAGGAAAGTTGGCAATGTCTCAGGCCATGACTCTGGGTGACTGGCTGAAGAGTCAGCAACATCCTCCACTTGCATCCCTTCATTCAATGTGCTTTTTGTCCCAGTGGTTTCCACAGTAAATCATGGAATCTCTCATCAACTTTTCCTGAGGAGAAATTCTTTTCATCTTATTTAAAAGTCCAAAAACTCATTCCTCCAGCATTTCAATCTCTTTTCGTCATCCAATATTCCTCTATAGCATCCATGACCACTGACTGCACTACAGTATACAATCATTAATTTAATTGTAGTTTGTCTCTAGTTTTCCATCTGTTAGTTTTATTTAATGAAGTGTTTCATATTTCCATTTCTTTTTTACTAAATCCAAAGCATTTGTTACAACATTCAGTAATATGAAAAACACAGTTTTAAGTAACAGCTCTAGTTTCCATCCTATAACAGGAGATAGATTTTGAAACCTGATGATTTTCAGAGTTAAAACCTTTGATTTTCCATTGTATTGAGAACTTTGGACAAGCAACTTCAACTCTTTCAAACTCTCTGTTTTAATTGTATAAAATGAATTAAGAATAATTAGGAATGATCTTTATTTATTTATTTATTTATTTATTTATTATTTATTTTTGTAATCTCTTAGATCAGAAAAAAAGCCACCTAGGAAACAGTTTTAATAAATGTCCTACACAACTGTAGTCCTTATAAATTTCCTGTAGCAGACAAATAATCTCAATATAATACCTTTCTTTTCCAGTTAAAGTTTGGTCAAATTGCCCCGTGTCACACCACACACACACACACACACATACACACACAGGCCCCTGAAATGTCTCTCCATGCCATCTCAGCCTTTTGAAATATCCCAAGATTATTTTTTTCCCAAGATTATTTTTATATATCTCTTGTTTTTTCACAGTTTTTGACTTTTTCTTTTTTTTTTTTTTTTCTTTTGTTGTTGTCTGGGTTTTGTTGTTGTTGTTGTTGTTTAGTAAGACAAGGTCTCACTCCTGGCTGTCCTGAAACTCCCTATGTAGGACAGCCTGGCCTCAAATTCACATTTACCTGTCTCTGCCTCCCAAGTGTTGGGATTAAAGATGAGTGCCACCAACCCTGGCACTTTACTTTTTCTTAAAATAACCTGTAGGTCTTAATTTCAATATTATATCATAAATTTCCCAAGCTTAAAGTTCTGTTCCTCCTTGAAACTACCTTACCATAATACTAACAAATTATCTCTTGAACTGAATTGACTTCATAAATATTCCATTCAATTAAACCAGAAGAGGACATTACTTATCAAATGTTTTATATCAGATAAGGTAGAATTCTTATGGCAACAGGTTAAAATTGCTATTGCTTAAAAGCACAGACTGTCAGACGAATAAGAGAGAAATCTAAGGAAGGAAGTATAGAGAAAGGTGATTCAGAAAGAAGGAAATGAGATCATAATTGCCTCAGTCAACTATACAGCTGCAACAGTGATTTTGCTTTGTTCAAGCATTGTTATTTCAGGGTCAAGGGTTACTGGGTTAAGGGGAATGAGGTAAGACCAAGGGAAACAAAAACAAAACAAAAATCAAAGAACAAGCCCTTCCAGAACAATCTTATGATCGGGTTCTTCAACCAAAGCTGCTGGTGTCGTTAGTGAGAATGAGCTTCTGTAGAGTCCCTACCATTTGAATCACTAGCATTTTGAGAATATTTTGCACACAGGCTAGGTCAAGATTTGACAAAGACAAAGAAGAAGGAGGAAGATGAGGAGGAGGAGAAGAAGGGAGCAGGAGAAGGAAGAGGAAAAAATAAAACATCTCTGTTATTTTTATTTATTTGGTTTTAGCCAAATCCCAAAACAAATCTGATTTCAAGCTTCATAACCCAAATTCCTAAAGAAAGTTACTGATGAGGAAAATAGTTAACTGAACAATGATTTCTGATTATTAATTATGGGAATTCAAGCTTTATAGGAACAATATTGAGGAAACTATTTGGCATCATGAGTTATAAACAGCTGGGGAGGGGAGTTGAGCACCAGATCCAAGTGACTTGAAGACATCTGTATCTAGAATGGGAAACTCATGCACATGGTTAACCTGAAATGAACATCAAGTCCTGGAAACTGTCATGTTATTATTTTAACTAATTTAAACTAAACCAAATATCAAAAGAATCAAGAGTACATCAAAGACATATTAAATACTTTCCTTAAAGAAACCATCATTTTAATAACCTAAACTGTTATTATTTACTTATGTGTTTTAGAAAGCAGAATTTGGAAGATAACCTAGTTTAATTTTCCAACAAAAGAGAAGCAGAGTAAATATATCTTTCAGAAAGATCAAACAAACCAGATGTGGTGGCATGCGCCTTTAATCCCAGCACTAAGGAGGCAGAGGCAGGAGGATCTCTGTGAAATCAAGGCCAATCTGGTCTACATAGCGAGTGCCAGACCAGCTGGGGCTATAAGAAGACCCTGTCTAAAAACAAAAAAATGAAATACAAAAAAAGAGACAATAAGGTCAAAAGTCCGATTTAAAAATTCAAGTTATCCATTGTAACATAACTTCCTTTCATATTTCCATATAGAGTCTCCATCATATGATTTTTAGCAGTAAACAATAAATCAAGAGTGCTTTTGAAACAATTTTCCCCTTTTTGCATACCAACGCAAAATTCTCATAATCAGTGTATAATTTTAAAGTGAAAATGATTAATTTTCTTTATGTGTGAATGGTGTGTGTGTAGTATGTGTGTGTGTGTGCGTGTGTATGTATGTATATGTGTGCACATTTGTGTAGAGGCCAGAGGTGGACCCTAGGTGTCTTCCTCTTTAGTTTTCTGCCTTATTGGCTTTTTATTGATTGTTCTTTGAGAATTTCACATGTGTGTAAATACATTCTGGTTATCATCTCCCCACACTCTCTTTATCTCTCTCCTATGTCTATGAATGCCCCTTCCTCTCTCCAAGTGCTTTTCCAAATTCAGGTATTTTTGTTTTGTGACTCACTGATTTTAACCAGGACCTTCCTGGAGACCATGAGTATGGAACTATCCAGTGGAATCTGGTGGGCTTGCCAGATAGAAAACTGAAATAAATGACTTCTTCTCTCCCAGAACCCATCAGTAGACCATAGCTCACCAGTGAGGAGTGGGGCCCCTTGAGTCCTTCCTCCATCCATTCCTGACTACTGACAGACCCATTCTTGTGCAGACTCAATGCAGATATTGTAGGAATGACTTTTATAAAACAGACATAATTTAGAATAATGACTTTTAATTAATCTTGACAAACTCACTGAACCATGTATTCTTATATCTTGGGCAGCTGATTGTGTTTCCTGGGAACCTCAATTCGTTACTCCACCCCAAAAGATAATGAATGAACGTGTGCATACTTGAGAATCAACATATTAAAGTACTGAAAGACAGTGCACAAGATTGGAAAGAATGCTTGACCTTGTATGTTTGAGATATTCTTGAACTAGAGATAAAAAGGCAAGGTTGACATGATAAGGGTGGATTCAAGCTTTTATTTCCCCAACTGAACCTGGAGAAATGATTTTGAATAAAATTGCGGGTGAGGTCTGACTGGAGAACACACTTGCAGGTATAGTTCCTGAGCACCAGTTCAAGAGACATTTGGGAGAATGGGTGTCCTCCAAGTTCGGGCCTACTCTTAAAAAGTAAATTTAAGAGTCAGGCTGTTTTGTTCAGGTAATTGTAATGTGGCATGTTAATATTGAAGCCATTAACAACTGCTGTGATTTTGTAATTGCAGTTGTTGTGTTGTGACCAGATGATGATATTTTGCTGCTGTGATTTTGTGACCGTAATTATGTCTTGACCAGATGATTATGTTTTGGAGCCTGTTGGGAAGGCAGCCCCCCAAAAGCTAGAACTGAATGTGGACAGGTCTAGAGACCTACGCTGAGAGACGTCTGAGTGCATGGGATAAATGGGTGGAGCCATCACCATATCAGACACAGGAAACGGAGTTGTGGACCACAGTGAGGCAGCACACGAAAAGCTGGCAGAGACTGTAGGCAGGATGTGCTGATGGTGTAGGTGTTCCAAATATGGGGAAGAAAAAACCTATGAGAATTCATGCCTTTATAAGTCACCCTTTCCCAGATGTCATAAACTATGCAAAACCCAAATAGAAGGTATTCTGTAGATTTTGTCAGCACGGAGACCTCAGAGGGCACAGGCATGTGGGTCTCCTAAGAAGGGGGAGGGGAATTTGGTGAAACACAGCCCTCTCTCTATCTTCCAGAGGCTCTTACATTCTTTGCATACCATTTTATGCAATATTCTCTGAGCTTAGAGGGGGTGGTATAAATATCTTGTTTAGTGCAGTACACTTAGCCCTCACTTATTCTCAGCACTTGTAGCATCCATTAGTCTCTATATTCACTGCCATTCACATGGAAAGTTGGGATTATCTTCTCAAGGCTGAGCACAGAATTTGTCTATAAGAATAAATATAAACATTTAGAAGGCTGTTTGACACTATGTCAATTTAGCTAAACAGAATTAAGCTCCCCTGACCCCTGTTTTTTTTTGTTGTTTTTTTTTTTTTTTTTACTGGGTTTACAATACTGCAGTACTAGGCATGGAGTTCTTCCTGTGGAATGAGGCTTGAACACAATCAGGGAGGAGTTGTCTATCCCCATTGTGGTGCTAACACAATTGCACAAGTGTGCAACCACCTCATTTTTTGAAAAGGAGTCTCTCACTGAACCTGGAGCGTCCCAGCTCTCTAGACTGACTGGTGAGTGCTAGGATTCACCTATCTCTGTCCTCCTCGTTTGTGCCCCAGTGATAAGGTTATTAACACACGTTACCACTTCTGGCTTTTAGGTGGGTACTAGGGATCTGAACTCAAGTTCTCATGCTTGAGTGACAAGTGCTTCTACCAAATGAGTCAACTCACCAACCTCTTTTCTTTGACAAATTTTTTCAAAATTTGAAAGTTCATTTTTGGCTATACCTGTCATTTTTTTCTACCAAATGACTTCATATTATAGTTATACTATTTTGTAAAATAATTTTCTCATGGAATAATACATAAAATGTAAGTATATAAAATTGATGCTACATTTGAACTCAGTGACCACAAACAAACTTTTAATATAAATTTTTTTTCAAAAATTTATTTACTTTGGGGGGGGGCATATAGCTCAGTGGTAGAATTCTCCCTTAGCAAACAAAACTTCTGAATAGTGCAAACAGAACATTTCTGCAAGAATACTTGAAAAATTATTTACCACGAGTCTCTCAGGAAGATAAACCCAATGCCCAAGACTAGGTGTCTACAGACACTTTAAAACATTTTATTTATTATTTTTATTTTCTGTGTATGAGTGTATTGTATGCATGCGTGTAAGTCACCCATGTTGTATAATGACCACAAAGTTCAGAAGAGGACGTTGGATCCCCTAGAAGTGGAGTTACAGAAGGTTGTTAGCCACCATGTGGGTGCTGGGCATAGAACCCGGGTCCTCTGCAAGAGCAGCCAGTGCTCTTAATTACTGAGCCATCTCTCCAGCCCCTACAGATACTTTTTTTTTTAAGTTACTTTTTTGTCATTTAAAACCAAAAGCTTCAAAAGAAAATGCTATAGGATCATCTGATTTTAGCATTTCATAATTTATTTCAGGTTAATTTATTAATAAGATACTATACTGTGACTTGTCTGATAATGAAAACAAAAAAAAATTCTGTAGGTTAATATAGTTTATCTCTAATTGAAGTCTCATACTACTGAGGAAAATGTTCAAGAACCAAGATGGGTTCATAAATATCTAACCTTGCATCAAACTAGATGAGTCACAAGAAAGAAATTTCCAGGTCAAAATAACTCTATTTTATTGTATTATATTTTATAACATATCTGATACCTTAAATTTTTTGCCAACTTGCTTAATTATGATGCAGGATTTATTTAACTGAGCCCACAGTCATGTTAATTACTTTTACTAACTTACTTGAGCTATTTTTACCCAACCTTTTAAAGTTAAGAAATAAGAAATTTAGTACAATTCTCCACTCTTCAGACAGATGTGGGTTTGTCTTGGCTCACTACTCACTAACAAGGAAAACTTCGCCAGATGGCCCAGTGTCTCTAAGCTTGGCAGATCTTGGTATTTCAAATACAGAAAGTGCAATTTCTAAATAATTTCTTTATGAAAGACATTAATCATATGCAGACACAAAAATACACTTAGAGACACAGCACACCTCAACCATTTGCCCCTGCCCTGAGTCATCATACACCTTGCAAATTGGAAAAGCAAACCTAGAAAAATTTAAAAATTTAAGTAACTTTTCTAGTGATGGCCAGGAGAAGAGTTGGGAAGATTACCAAATAGCACTCATTAAATAGCCCATTGCTCTTTTCACTTTAATGCATTCATTGTGGACAAATGGGTGGAGCCTGGTGAGAAACTGCACAAAAGCTTGTGCTTACTAAACAATTATGGGTATGTAAGGTCGAGTACCCTGAAATACTCAGTAAATGCCTCTAATCTGTACAAATTTAACTGAATCGGGAGGTTGTCTCTGGAGAAAATAAGATGTAATCAACTACAAGGGAAGGTTTCTTAAACTTGTATTTTATTTCTCTTTTAGTCTTTACAGCACTATGAAAAAGGGAACAAGTCAAAGTTGATATTACTTGCAAGCATGGTTCCCATTACGCACTTTGCTGGCTATACTAAGCTGCAGCTCCATGAACAGTACTTTCCAGAAAACAGGAAAAGCTATCCTAAGTGACTCTTGCCTATATCCAAGAGAGGGAGTGCATCAGGAATTCAATATTGTCCTTGTAAAGCAAGGAAAGTGATCTACCCTATGAATGGTCCAAGTAGCACCAAGCATGGGGGATGGGAGAAAGTCCGGAGAGAACTTTCAGTCTTCTGCTAGTCTCCTCATTATAGAGCATCCTCCCTAAGAAAGTGAAAACTCTACTGTTGAGAATGCAAATGGCCATCTGACAGCGCTCGTATCTTAAACCACCTCTTTCCTCCAAAATACGCGAAATTTCTTTTAAGCCTTTAGCAAACAAAATGGACATGTGTCAACACAGTTCTGGTGGTGTGTCTGAAATTTCAGCTGAGTTTAATTTCCCCTTGTTTTTTCTTCCCAAGGGTCTACATTTTCCACTATGTATATGGCAAAGCTATATACTGTATATTTCTAAAACTTGCAGAGGTGAAGGGCCGTTATTTCCTGCTGAGTAGTGTCCCTTTCCTGGCTTTAAACAAAACCCGGATGTAAGTTGGACACAAGAAAAACAAAGGAACAAAAGTAAAACTTTTGTTGTCTTCAGCCCAGTAGTTCCCGCGGGCGTGGCAAACCCCTGAGCCAGGCCTGCCAGGAGCAGCATCCTGAAGACTCCACAGCCGGCCCAGAGGAGCCGAGAGGATGCCTCTAACTTAATCCTCACCGAGCTCGCTCTTCAGGCCTGGGGCGGGTGGGAACTGAAGAAGCCGCCTTGGGTTTGCCTGGACTCTGGGAAAGGCCAGCGGGAGCAGGCTTTGGGCAGGAAGCCGAACCCCCGGGGAGCTGGGGACCGCGGCGCCAGGCAGTCACATCCTGTTCAAGGGCGGGAGGCCAGGGCTGCCGGTATTTGGGCTTCCAGAGGCTCCCCTCCGCCAGCGGCTCCTGGGCCCAGCTGAGGGGCGAAGATGCCTGCCCTTCACATCGAAGACCTGCCAGAAAAAGAAAAGCTGAAGCTGGAAGTTGAGCAGCTTCGCAAGGAAGTTAAGTTGCAGAGACAACAGGTAAGGTCAGGTTTCCCTGGTTCAACGGTTTGGTTTTCTTCTGGCCGCTTGTCTTTAAGGCGGCTCTGGGAGTGCCTGGAACTGCTGGAAGATGTGGGGAAATCCCAGGCGGTGAAGGAGGGCAAGACTCTAGTGAGACGTTTAAAGCCAATTGCCATCAAGCTGGAGTCCGGAGTAGAGAAACGGTCAGGACATCCCGCTACTTTGAAAACTCAGTTATAGGAAAAGGACAGATGGCTCCGATTCTGGAAAGGATGGTGTATGTACAAAATTCTTCTAAACTCACATTTTAAAGTCTCTCAGCTATTTTAGTTTTGAATTTCACCGATGTGAGAGTGCTCCACTGGGACTTGAGAACAAGCTGCCAGAATTTCAGAATTTATTTATTTGTAAATTTCATCCAATTTCTAGTTGGTCTTGTAAGCCTGCAAATGGTTAATTCAGTGTTATCTGTATTTATTTATACATATATAATTACATCTACACGGAAGGGCATATAATTGCAAATTAAAAAAAAAAAATTAGAGGCAGGGTGTGGTCACACATGCTTGTCATCCCAAGCATTTAGGAAGTAAAGGCTGAAGGATCACAAGTTCCTGCCAGCCCCACCCGGCAATGACCATTCAGAGGCCACCTATTAAACTTAATCGAAATTCTGTAATTTTTACTTCAATTTCTACTGGTAGTAGGAGCATACATTACAATGCTGATCATTTTTTCCTTTTGCACTCTATCAAGCAGCTTGAAGTTTAGAAAAATAGACTTTTGGATAGAGTTTGTTTGTTTTACAGAAAATCATCTATTTTTTCTCTGCAGCAAATTGTGAACTGATTTTCTTTGTAAAAATTTGGAAGTGCTAGGTTCAAACTCAGGGCACTGAACTCATGTGCTCTGCCTCTGAGCTACATCCCAGGCTATTTGATTTTACCTTTTTTTTTTTTTTTTTTTTTTTTGTAGCTTAATATTTGGAGAAAATAAGAAAAGCAGTGGAAATGAAGCCAATGTTACAAACAAGTTCATTTGTCTTCCTCCTCCCATTCTAAACACTCTCATGACAACAGTCTTACTGCTCCAAGTGGTGAGGGGCAAAGCAGCTTTTTTAAGATTTACATTTTATTTTTAGCTCTGTGCCTGTGCATGTGTCTGTGCATGGCTATGTGCATGTGCATGCAAGTGTCAGCAGTGGCAAAGGGAGGCTAGAAAAGAACCTCAGACACCTTGGAGCCGGAATTATAGGCAGTTGTGTGCCTGCCCAGTATGGGTGCTGAGAAAGGAACTTCAGTCCTCTGAATAGCAGCAAGTGCCTTTAACCACTGAATCATCTCTCCGGCCCCATTGGAGGGGGGTGGGGGTGGGGTTTTACATTTTTATGCATTTCTTTTTTCAAATTTAGTCCTCCACTTCCTACTCCCTGATCCACACTCTTCCTAGATTTTGCAGGGTATCTTATCTTTCTACATTGAGAAATCCGTAACAAAAAATTGTGTGCTTAGAGGAATATACCAGTTGACAGGACTCACTGAATACTCTTGTTTCCTGTAGGGAACTCGTTTTGCTGGTGACAAACATCCCAGTATGCAAGGGTTGTCCCAGGGCTTCCACATTTACGCAGTGCTGCCTATGCTGAAGTAACATATTGCTTTTGCAAAGTTAGAATAGCTTTGGTGTTACTGTGTAGAACTTACAGGGTTAAAGAAGAGAAAAGTTTCTCCTGCATGTTTAAAGTTTCAAATTAGACATCAGGCATGATCCTGGATGTAAATGACAATGTAAAAATCAAGCATCATTTACTAACGGTTTCTCCTTGTCAGCTCCCCCTCCCCCACCTGTTAGGGCAAACCCTACTCAATAAGTTTTCCAACTCAGAAAACCCAAGGGATATACTGAGAAAGACAGAAAGATTTAGGGTTATCCTTGCTAGATACACAGAGAGACTGTGATCTAAATCCTAATAGTAGTTTTCAAACATTTCATTATTCAGTACAAAATACTGAGTGTTAACACTGGGCAAGCGTTGTGGTGCTTAGAGACCACTCACCGCCTGACTTAAAGGATGGACAACCCCTGAGTCCCAGAGTATTTGACTGGTTCTTCTCTTAAGACCACAAAGAGTGAAGGGCAGTTACTTTAAAAATGCTTTTCCTGGTGCCGGGCTGTAGTTCTGTCAATTTATTGTTAACACCTGAACTGTGTGTTCTACTCAGGCCAAGGAGACAAATTCACAGGCTATATTTCATTGTAGATAATTAGTTGTTGGTCAAAAGTATCCTCTTGATCTTGGTAGGAGCAATTACTCACTATAGGAGATTACAGAATTTTTGGAAATATAATGAAAAAGCTTTTGTAAGAACAGATAAAACATGGAAAATGTGACTCTCGTCCAGAAATTTCCCTGAAGCTACAGACTCCAGGTTACTGATACTTTATCAGTTTTGGGAATTCCTTTAAACTACACACACTATGAATGTCAGTAATACTGAGAAACTTGGGAGGATTTTAGTTTACCACATTTTAAGCCCTAAGTCGCCTAGTTTTAAATTTTAATAAGTGGCATCTATGCACAGCTGTGCATAAATAGCCCTTTGGGGTATATGAGTGAAATAATGAGGCTCCTAGTTTTGTTTACTTTTAAATCTCATTCTTTTTTGAATTACCACTTTATGTCTCATAATTATGCATGATGTGTTACGACTGTGATAGTTGCACTTATTTATAAGTAAATAATTCTGCATATTTGGGGATATGTATGTAAACATATTTAGCGATCCTCATTAAAAGGCTACTAAGTGAAATTACAAACCGTTGTTCACACTCACCCACTTTAAACAGGTCTCCACTGCAATTTGCCAAAAAGTCTATAATTTTTACCTCGAATTTCTTACTAGCTAAACAAGCCTTTATGAAGATACTCAGCCTTATTTGTCCTTTTTCACTTATTCTCTTTTTAAAACTTGTGCTTGCAACCTGTCTTTTAAGAGTGGACTTTTAAAAGAAACTCTTCAATTCTTTCTCCAGTGGAAGAAAAATTCAAATTGATTACCTTAGCACACGAGTCTCTAATAGCCCTACTAAGACTGTGCTAAGGTTTTTACTGTAATCATTGTCTTCACTGTCAGTAGGACTTTTGAGGCAAGACAAGAGTGAGATGTGTGGGCAGCTCTAATGTTCCAAGTCAGGCTCTCCCCAACACCACTACTGTACCATTTTGTGGAGTCCCAGAGTGTGATACAGACTGTTACATGAGGGCTGTGGCCTCACACACTCCATAGCATCTGGGGATTGCCCACTACTATGCCTCCCTGCTGGCATGGAAAATTGGAAGTGAAGTGTATTTCAGTTCCCAAAATACAATGGAATTGTCATACTTATATTTTAGCAGAGAAAAGAAATCATGTGAAGAACAATAACTAGAAATAGCCAGGGATAGTCTACTTAATACAGTGACTTTCAAACATTTTTTTTACCCTGACTGATAGTAAGAAGCATTTTTTCCATAGATTGTATCACACATTTACGTAGAGTAGAATAAAAATACTAGAGTATAGTACATAGATTTAAAAATATATGAATTTTTTAAAAAGATTACTTATAATAATTTCATAAAAAGCTGAGACCAAATTTCAATATCCTTGCCTTAATTTATACCTTTATATTTATGTTTTTCTCTTTCTATAATTCAGGTGTCTAAATGTTCTGAAGAAATAAAGAACTACATTGAAGAACGTTCTGGAGAGGATCCCCTGGTAAAGGGAATTCCAGAGGACAAGAATCCCTTCAAGGAAAAAGGCAGCTGTGTCATTTCATAACTAACTCTGGGGAGAAACTTCATTGGCGATGGAAGAGCAAGTTGTTCTTTCTCTTTTTTTATTTGTTTGATCTTCCCTAAATGAAATCAATGTGTCTTTTAAGGAAGAAAAAAAATGAAATTTAGAAAAGCTTCTCTTAAGCACTGTACAACTAAATCATGTATGCAAACATGTTCGCTTCACACTGTTGCTCAACACACACTTTTTGAGGGCAGAGTATCCGGTGTATGGAATTAAAGCATGACCCTTTTCTTTCAGTAGATGCTTGGTGCCTCCAATAAAGTTTTGTCTTGGGAAAATGAGTGTTGGTGATTTAAGAGGGCACTTTTCATGCATTCACTCCTGTATTTCTTTCTTTCCACAGCCTTTCCAGTGTTTGGGATACCCGTCAAAAGATTAGGAATGTGATCTGTCTTGTCTTCCAACCCAGCGCTCTCTGCTTCACGTTTACAGTGCCAAAACTTAACTTCTGGAATGTGTTCGATCAACTATAACTGTTAGGGAACTGAGAGGGGAGAATCCCTAATAACTTTAACAGCAGTCAGATTATCGACATTAGCGTTTCCATAGTTTATGAGTGTTTAGATCTTGTTCAAAGTGTTCCTGTGGCCTTGGTAAAAGGAAAAGACTGGGAATGAGGATGAAAAGCCTCCTCCACCTGCAGCTCTCCCATCTAGCCCTGGTGCCCCCGGGCTATTCTTTTGCTGACACAGGGCTACATCCCCCAGTGCTCTCCAGCTCTGTGGATGGCTCTGCTGTAGTTCTATGGCATTGAGGCAAGCATTTGAATTTCTTTCACCCATTCGTCCAAGCTGCAGACCCAGGCTAAGCTTGCTTCTTTTTCATCTTCTCCAAAAGAAAAAGTATATTTTGCCCAATTTTAATAATCAGTTTGACTTTTCTGATTTGGGAGACTCATGATATATCCTGGCTATCCATCCTTCATTGGTGATATGTTGAGCACATCTTCTAATCCATGGCGTCTTTGTGCATGGTGTCCTTAGCTTTTAGCTAGAAACTAGAACACTCCAGGTATGATGTCTGGTCAAGTCTTTTATGAAAATATGTGCAGTTAAAACCTCAATGAAAGGAATCTTTCCTCCTCCCCCTGCCCCTTTTTGGTGTTTTTAATACTGGGTCTCCTATAGACTGAGCTGCCCTGGAACTCACTGTGCAGACCAGGCTGGCCTCCATCTCACAGAGAATATTGGGATTAAAGGCTTGTGCCACCATGACTGGCATAAAACCAAGATTTTTATAGATTAATTCTATTTCAAATAGGTTTAATTACTAACTTATTCTGTGTCGTTAAATGTGAATGAAGAGCCCTTGTTTCTCCTCTAATGGATTGATTCTCCAGGTATGCCTTCCTAGCTAAGCCAGAGTACTTGTGCCCACAACAGCTTCCTGAAGTCGATCAGCCTCCTTGCTAGGAATTTCTGTTTCTTTCCCTGTTGACAAGGGAACAGGGTATTTAGGCTTTTGAAAAAGCAGTTATGTCAAACTCAGCGTAGGGACTATTTCCTTCAGTTTCCTGCCATTTTCCAAGTGATGATGTCAAGGTTACTGAGAGCCCAAGGATAATTTTAGCTCAAAGAAGCATCTAGTTTGGGGAGGGTTTAAGAGTAGTAAAGGCAAATGCCTTCCAAGCACCAGAGAACAACTGGTATTGGGTTGTCTGTCTACTGTTTTTCATTTAACATTTAACATGGCCTGCAATTTTAGTATCCTGGTACTTAGTTTTACCTTAATAAGGTGGTCCATTTCTTTATAGTTATCTATCAAGTGTTTTCTTATTGTCGTTTTTTTGTTGTTTTTGCATAAAGAAACAAGCGTGTATTCTGGTTTCTCATATGATACATAAAACAAGCCTTTACAGGGGCCCAAATAGCACATTTATTCCCTAACTGTTAGAGAGCAATGCTTACCAAGCTGGATCCTGAATTTCCATTAGCACACCCAGCTCTCCATTTATGCATGTCTCAACAAATTAGTCAGCCAACTTCTGTTTTCCCCAGTAAATACCCAAACTTGTAGGTGTTTCTACTAAATACATTTTTCTGTTTCATTATTGTAACTTAGCCAAAACAAGTAGTATAATATACCTACCTTGTTTTTCAAGTGCTAAATAATAGCTTGCAGTAGAAAAATATGACAAAAATATATTTGACTGTATTATAAAAGTAACATTTGACAAGTAAGAATTTAAACAGAATTGAAATGTTCAATTTCTTTCAATAAAATCATTAGATGAAATAGTTGCCATGTTTTGTTCATTGAGACTTCTATTAATTCAATCCATTTATTAAATTTTCCTCCTATAGATCACACTTGGTGTCAAGTCTAAGAATTATTTGAGTTAATTTTACCAGTGGATATCTCCCTGTTCCAATGCCATTTATTGAAAAGGCTATCAATTTTCAAAAAGTTTTTGCTTTTTGATTAAAACGTCATTGGGCATATTTGTGTGGGTCTGTTTTGGGGTGTTCCTTACTGATTCCTTTTTGGGTCTGTGTTGTGTCAGTAACACAGTCCCTTTATTTCCTCAGCAGTAACAGGACGTGAGATGACTCATGTTGTTCTTTGTTTTTAAATTTTGATAGAAATTGAGGGGAAAAGCAGCTCACTGGGGAGAGGGGACATCTTCACTATGTTGAATCTTCGAATACAAACATGACATGCATGTGTCTCCAGATCTTAAGGAATTCTCATAGTTCTGTCATCACTAGTTCGTAACTCTCATCACATTGACTGTATATAGTTAAGTAGCAGTACATAGTTTTATTTGGAGTAATTAGAAATGGTATGCTTTTATTTTCCACTTGGTGTTTTTTATAATTTAATTATTTATTATTTATTACTGTTGTTGTTGTTGTTGTTGTGGTGGTGGTGGTGGTGTGTGTGTGTGTGTGTGTGTGTGTGTGTGTGTGTGTGTAAGGGCATGCTTGTGAAGGTCAGATGACAACTTTGTGAAGTTGGTTCTCTCCTTCCACATTTATATGGGTCCTTGGGATTGAACTCAGGTCACTAGGTTTGCGTGCTAAACATCTTTACTCACTGAGCCATCTCATTGGCCCCCACTTGACTTTTAATGTCATATGGAAACACAGTTTATTAACAGGCATGTTGGTGCATGTGTATCTTACCAGGACTTGGGAGATGGAAGCAGAAGGAGTTCCAGGCCAGCCTTGGCTACATAGTGAGAATGAGGGTAGCTGCTTTTGTTCGGGGGGGATGTATTTATTGTGGTTTGATCTTGTATTTGACAACCTTATTAAAATCCTTTATTACTTATGAAAAGGATTTTGTAGACTCCTTGGGGTTTTTATGTAGTAATCAATAAGTAAAGACTTTTTTTCTCTTTCCAACCTGTATTTCTTACCTTGTTAATATTAAGTTGCAATGGTAAGAACAGATCTAAAAATTAATAAACAATTTATTTTAAATAGATGAAATGAATCATTTAAACCAAAGTTTAAAAAAGCAGTGTAAAGTATGAAGAAGAAACTTTAAAACTTTTAAAAATATGCAGAATATTGATAAGCTCAAAGTAGAGAAGATTTTCATAAATATTACACATATATACACACATATCAAGTGATAAGATAAAAAAATACTCTATTTAACTACATTAAGTTTAAATTTTTGTATCCTAGGAAGCTGATACAACACTAACAGGCAAGCATCCCTCCTTCCTTCAGATAATACCAAGAAGTTCCAAGTAGGGGCCTCAGCAGCACCAGTGCATCTAAGGACACCTAATCAGCATTGCCAGGACTCTGAAAACCAAAGTCCATACATGCAGATAAAAACCTGTGTACCAAACCTAGAGAGGGTGACCACTTACTAAAATAGAAATTTGCATAGAAGCAATAGTCTCCTTATGTAATAACTAAAATGTCCAAGATAAAATTGAAAAAACTTTGTCACAGCAAAATCCAGAGAATCCATATCTGAGTAAGGTAAGATGGTGGGAATACCAACAATGGTCAGACATTAGAATTTCCTGATTGGAATTTTAGAGCAAACATTCACAGAAACCATGGAGGTAGAATGAAGACATGATGCATTCAAACACTAAATGAAAAGAAGTGTGAACCTTGGATCTTTTACCAGCGAAACCATCTCCTAGAAATGAAGAGGAAATAAAGACATTCCAAGATTATGTAAAATTAAGAGAAATGGTTCCTAGCTGACTTCTTGAAGAACATTTAAAGGAAGCTCTCAAAGCAAAAAGAATGCTCCAACAATAACAGAAAGGCTTACATAATGAAAAAGAAAAGTCAACAGTAATGGGTAAAAATTGAAGCAGACATCGGAGACTAACATTCAACTGACAAATTTCTGAAAGCACCGCAAATTAATTCAAGTCATTGAAGGGTCTGATCTGGTGCAGACTAATCTAGATAAAGCCCTGGGAAAGAGCGTGCATATGTAATTACTTACAACAAAACTCCACATGTTCCCACTATGCTAGGGGCTGCTCTAGGCCTAATGAATACAGTGATAAGATAGATGAAGTCTTCAACATTAGTGAGTTCATAGAAACTGTGACTATCCAGATGTAATTAGAGTATACTATGTTGTATAAAATAGAGTAAATAAGAAAGTGGTTTGGTGTTTTTAATGATAAGCATGGAAGCTTAGCCAGGTAAGTGATTATTTTCTCAGAACTAGTACAACTTTTTACAGGGGTTATTTAGTTCTTAAAAGTACTTTATGGAAAAAGACACATAATTTCCATTATATTGCAGTAATGAGAAGCAAACCTGTGCTTTTAAAACCATGCAACAGTGCCTTGGTTGTTGAAGCCGATGCATCTGAGCTTTAAAAGAACTACTGAATCTTCCAAAGTGTCTTCTGGTATAGTCTTAGCTAGTTTTTATGTAATCTCAGAAGTTTGGCACAATTTACTTGTCTTGCTTGATTGGCTCATTATTTTTCTATCATCACAGTCAAATATAATTGAATAATTTGAGTCTATGCCAATTGCATGAATTGGGTTTTAATAAAAAATATCATAATTCTATATTACTATGACAGTGATGAACTCTAATTATATATCAAATAGCTTTTGCTCATTTGTTGAATAATATCACCTCTCACTTTAATGCCAAAGGTTATCTGACAGAATCTCCATGAAATATGATAGATTGTCTATAAAGACGTTTTTGAAAATAGCAAAATTATTAAGAGGTAGTTAACTACCCCTAGAGAACTGTTTACAGATCTTTTAGGAAGTGATCAAACTCGTTCTCTGTGAAAACTTGATTTTGTTTAATCAAGGTAACTGCAGGCCTTAACTTGCAACACTTCAGCCTTTTCTTGTAGTAGTCTGAGCCCGATGATTCTAAAGATCTACTTCACAGTCTTGGTTTGAGAATGAATGAGCCTGATTCTTGGGCTGTGAATAAAAATCTTAAACCCACTAAAACACTCATGGCTTGGCTCACATTCCCATTCATCAGTAAGCAGCACCAGACTCCTTTTGGAAGTAATTAGAGTACATACAAATCTTTATTAACAATCCACAGAACTGGCATATTCACTAAGACTGTCACAGCTCTGATACTGTGTAGGAAAGGAAGAAAAGGGCGTCTGTCTTCTTCACTGACCATTTTGTAATGGTACAAAACTTACATGTATTGCACTCTAAGAGAGAAACACAAATTTACATTAAGCATTGTAAATACATAGTCTGAAAACTGTTATCGGCATAGCTCACTGATTGCTGGATAAAAGTTTAAAGTCCATTGTTGCTAAACATTCTCTTTAATACCTAAAGTTATGTATCAATGCAGAACATTTTGTCTTGGTTTGCTTGTAATTGCCAGCATCCAGACTTGCTTTCCTCTTTTCCTTCTCGTTGATCTTTGCAGTTGAGCTTCATGCTAATTTATGCTTACATATATTGTTTGAATATAAAAGCAACTGTGAGTCAGGGGGAATTAATATTTTTAATATTTAAAAATTGCAATTTTGCACTGTAATAGTTTATCGTGACTGCCAACTTAATGGGACTTAGAACCACCATGGAAATGAATCTATGGGTATCTTCATGAGGGATTATCTAGATTAGGTTAACTGAGGAAGGAAGACCCACCTAAATGTAGGCTGTAGCATCCCATGGGCTGAGGTTCCAGACAGAATATAAAGGAGAAAGGGAGATGAGCATAATAAGCCTTCACTGTTCTGCTTCCTGACAGTGAAGGTGATGTGACCAGTCCCCTCCTCTTCTTGCCACAGCTTCCCTACAGGATGTACTGTGCCCTTGGACCTGTACGCCAAAATAAGCCCATCCTTCCTTACGTTGCTTTTGTCAGGTATTTTGTCGCAACAACTAGACAGGCAGCTGATATAAGTGGAGAGTAAGTTAAAATTTTAAAAATTCTTCATTTAAATTTGATTCAACAAATAAATAATGAGTGAAATGTCTGCAAATACAGTGTTGTTCCCGTATTCTAGAAATAGGCAGTTCCAACAAATGAAAGTGACATTTATCAAATATAATTAAATCAATTTAATTGTTGATTAAATGCTTGGGAAAAGAGGTATAATAAATAAATTATTAGGGGCCAGGCTTGATGGCACACGCCTTTAATCCCAGCAGTTAAGAGGCAGAGGCAGGCTGAGCTCTGTGAGATCCAGGCCAGCCTGGTCTACATGGAGAGTTCCAGGCCAGCTTAGGCTAGAGGGAGACCCTCTCTAAAAAAGACTAAAATAATTACATAATAAAATAAAATATTAGACTAAAGCTAGAACATGTTCAACTTATCTTCTGGTAGTACTTCATGAAATGAGAGTCAGCAGTTTAAGTGGAGAAGAAAAATTTGTGTATTAAAGTAAGTGAAAAAATTCATTTATTGAGTACAGTCTAGTAAACTAAAGACATTTATCAAACATATAAAAAAGGAAAAGTCTATCAATTTGTTGGACATATTTTCTTTAGAAACATATTTTTAAAATATTTTTAAAGCTACTATAGGTAACACACTATCTCAAATTCAGTAGCTTAAAACAAGATATTATGTATTAGTGTATTAGTAGCTTCTCTGGGTCTGGCCCTGTTGGTCTTGACTGGTTTTACCCAGTCATTTTTGGTCAGTTGGTAGATCCCTGGAAGGTTGCTGATTACTTGGGTATTGGCCAGAAGTTGACTGAAACAAGGTAGATCAGGATCAAATAACATTTATCCTTCAACAGGCTTCTTTTTCTGGATGCCAGGCTTCTACAAACAGGAGATTAGAGTATAAAATGT